ATTATGTCTGTTTCACTATTAAATGTTTTGTCAGTTAAAAAAATATTACACTTTTTATATAATCGTTGCGAACTACTATTATCTCGAACAGCATAATATTTTGAAATCTAAAGTATATATGTGACAAACAAAATGAAAAAGATAATTTTTATTTGACATTCAAAAATCATGAATTAAAAAATTCTTTGAAAAAAAGAAAAATATTTGTATTTTATTTTACAATAAAATAATGTCATAGAAGCTCTACAATAGACTTTCTGATTGGGAAATATACTATACCTGCACATAATGGCGCTGACCGGCATATTCCTGACAGCATGAAAAGTTATACAATACGATGAGATTGCTTTCAAACATATTAATTACATAATTCAATTCACATTGTAATAATAACAAAGTATTTGTATGCAATTGAATTAAATCATTTTTAATATATGTATGTTAGTATGTATGTATATTTGTACGTTACTGTTTACTTGAGAATTTTCTTAATAGTGCTACTGCAATTATTTTTTTTTCAGTCTAATTGTAAGTTTAAATGACACACCAAAAGTGAGGTTTCGAAAGATTAAATTTCAATGGTAAATATATATATATATTTTTTTTCTTTTCGTTAAAGACGACAGGCGATCGTGTATAAAAACAAACTTACGCGAATTTGGAGTGTTATCGAATGGATAACTAGCAACCAAGGCACCTCCGTGTAAACTTCCGGATAAAACGAATTGAATTTTCGAGACCCACTCTTTCACAGCTTCCGTTTCTGGTTGACTTTTCTTATTGTTCTGCTTGAAGTAGTCGGGGAAGTTACGGTTCAGATCGAAACCGCGTGCATTGTACCTGCGAAGAATCTATTTGTGTGCAAAATATAAAATAGTAGCTGTAAAAAGTTTTTCATTTTAATTAAACTGGGAGATAAAATCGTTGAAGTATTTCAGAATGCTTGAAAAAATGATCGACGAATGTGATTATGAACGTTGATCTATTTATTAAGAAAAAAAATATTCTTAAATGTTATATCTAAAAAAATTGTTTAAAAAATTCTCTTTTTATATTGAATTTTTCTCAATACTACGAAGAGCTTAATTCATTTAATTCCATTTGTACTTATCATAAGGGTGCTTGTACAGGGTGATTCACCTAACTTGACGACCTGAAATTGCTCTAACTTAAACTATTCACTGTACGAAGTATTGTGTGAAGCAAAAGTTGCCTGATTTCAAGGGGCACATATGTTACAATAATTCTTTTTATATATAAAGTTTTTAAGGTCACCGTGATTTTTTTTAAGAGCATTAAAAGCTGAGTCAATGAATATTAAGGTGTGTAATGTGTCTAAAATGGGTGAGATGTTTATGATAAAAGTACTGTTCTGTTGAAATCGAATTTACGAATCGAGAAATATACTTTTGCGTGTGTTGTGTAAATTCGATTTCAGTAGAATAAAACTTCTATCGTAAATATCTGAATAAATACTCACGTTAAACATATTACACCTTAATATTTATTTATTCGGCTTTTAATGCTTTCTTTTTTAATGCAAAAAAATCACGGTAATCTTCAAAACTTTATGTATAAGAAGAGTTATTGTAACATATGTGCCCCTTGAAATCAGGCAACTTTTGCTTCACACACTATTTCGTACAGCGAATAGTTTACGAGCAATTTCAGCTCGTCAAGTTAGGCGAATCACCCTGTATATCTACTAGAAATTCTTACCTGCCTTGTCCACCTTCACAGTATCCTTCTTTTGAAACTTCGAAGCCATCGGGATTCATTGACGGAAGAATATGAATTCTAGTATTGTCTAATAGCCATGTAATATACGGATCTGACCCATAATTCGTCACAAAAAACTGAAAATAAAAAACAAAACTTGAAATATTCGTACAGACAGAGCTTCGCAGCTTCTAATCGATCAAATAATTTTGCAAGTATTTAATATTTTACGTTTCACCTAAAACGATTTTATATTCATTTACTAAATTAAATTTTTTAATATTTTTATACAAATTTATGTGTTCGATACAAGTGTTTGGAATGTAAATAACATTATTAAATATAGATATATAAAAATGTACAACTGTGTATTGTGTTGCTACGTACGTGAATCAGATGTAACATTAATTCACGTCCAACAGCTTCGTTTCCATGTATATTGGCCACATATTTCACATCTGGTTTACCGATCATATGTTCGTAAGGCGAGGAAGAAACAACCATTACCCATAAATCGCGACCTATAAAATGGATTTTTAAAACAATTCACAATATTGGTAAACGAAAACATATCTTAATCGTTCCAAAATTATGATATTTTTTAATTGTTCGAATTAATATTTCACATCATTTTTTAATATTTCTTCTATGTTAAAAGAGAATTTCACGCATGCAGTGCTATATAAGAAATTAACAACTGTAAAATGGTTAAAAAAATTATATACAAGAATTATGATGATAAGAAAATATATTTTAAACGATGAAAAATTTCTTAGAAGGAGTATACCTTTTACGGACTTTCCTATCGAGTATAAGGCAGTGAGATTTTGAAAACGGAGAGACGTTGTTCGTAGAAAACGGCTCATTTGGTCGTAATTATGATATGTGAAGTCGATATTGTACATTTCTTCATAAACGTGAAAACGAGCATTGTAATGGTTCGAAGAATCCTTATTAATGTGTTGCGAGGCACCGGCAGTTCCATGATATGCTCCGAAGAAGATGGAAGCGAGGAAAAATATCTGTCCATACATTCTATGAATTAAACAAGAACATACTTCAATTATAATATTCCGATAATGAGAATTCGTCGGTATCGATAACTCGTTATTCTTAAGAGGAACTAATTATTCTTTAATATAAATGAGATATTTTAACGCGCTGTATGGATTTAATATCTCTCTTTGTGTACGCATACGTATACTACAGGTCAAAAGTTTGGAATCATTGTGCATTGCAAGTTACGCGAAAATTTCTAAAATTTTTGACAATTTTTAAGAATTTTTAAGAATTCTTTTATTATTTAAATCAATCGATAAGAGGTAAATTGTAATTAATTTCAAGTAGATTTAATATTGATGAAAATTGCCAGATGATGCCAAATTTTTGGCTGGTAATGTACATTGAGAACACTTGTCTATTAATTAATTCTTACTTACCATCTGTTGTTAATTACTATTTGTATTGATAACTTTCTAAGATTACGTTAATCTATATTTAATTAATATAATAATTTCTTTCACATAGCGTTAATGTGGTATATTTGTTTTTTAATTTGACAGAAAATTAATTCGTTGAATTTTTCTGATGGTAAATTGTGCGTTTCGGGCTTGCAAAATTATATCGTACAACTTTCATAATATGTACATCGTAGATAGAACGATAGTCAAATATGTCACGCTTACATGCGCACGCATAAAATGAAATTAAACCTTGTTACATATCCGTCTATGTAAATTCTACCGAATTAGTAGGAATTCAAGAAAATTATGCAAAGTATGTCAGAAATGGGTGACCAAATTTTAAGAGCACATTTTACTCACTAATACTCACTGAAAAGTTAAAAAAATATTTCATATGCACGTTGCTTCAAAAATGTTTCTTAACGAATTATAACAGAATTTCTTGACGAACAAGCTTGAAAAATTGAAAGTTCTAAATTTTACGACAAATATAATAATAAACGATACAATTTAAGGTAACTTAGAATAAAAACATTTCTGAAAAAGTTTTTCCACGGAAATTCCTGGTCAAGCACTATTGTAAAGAAGAGGCGTTTATAATTTAGAAAGGAATGGTTTCCGGGCCCATATTCACATGACCTTTTTTATCCCTACCGTTAGTAGAATACGTTCCTAGAGTTTAGTCATTTATTTCCGGATCAACCAGTACGTACAGTTTTTGTACTACGGTATAGTAGGCATCTAATTTACCTACACGTCTGTTTGATTTTTATTTGCCATTTTCTCATTATTTTCGCGCTAAGATCAAGCTGCATCGATGGAAATACAATAATTATGTTTTAAATGGAGTCGACGAGCACCTAAAAATACAAGGCTTGACAAAAAAAAAATTGGGTTACGATTATTGGGCTGAGACGAAATTAGTCGTCGATCAATCAACGAATGCTCCTATAAATCTCTGCAAAGGTTAGCAGTATTCGTGAGAGGAAATATATATGGTAATGAAAGTAATACAAATATCTCACTCGAAACGTAATTAAAAACAAATTTCTTCGTTGTTTCAATTTAAGTTTCTTTACATATTATTGTACGTGCAGTAAAGTGAAAATATTCTACGTTATATAGGATAATCTAATATTTCAATTATCGTACACTTTATAAACAAAATCATCGAATACCATCTATCGCGTCAAATTTTTTTTACACTTGCTATACTTTTTCATTAAACTTCTTCACTACGATTATACAGCACGATAAAAATACACAAATACATTCTTCGATGAAACGAGAGTTCAGAAACGCTAATAATTTCGCTACATCAATCTTAATATTTGAATTCCATTAGTATCGCGATAATAAAATAACGAACTCGTTAAAACTACACTGCAGAAATTTAAAATGGTGTACACCACTGTGTTGTCTTCGCGTTTCAACTTGACCGTGTACTTACTTTCTCCTTATTTTAAAACCTACTTCTTACGTAGCGCCCTTTAAACACAATCTTTCAATATCGCGTACACTTCACCTCAAGCTTAACAACCCGTATCCTTTCGATACAACGATAATTCTGAAGAGTATACACTTCTCTTACTTTAAAGTAACACAGAGAACGCGTAAGAATTCGAACGAAAAACGAACCAACAATAATTTCACAAAATTTCCGATAAACGTTTCTCAGGGGGGGGAAAAAAAAGAGAACAAACGTGCCGAACGTGACGAAGAGAAGAAAATAGGGAGAAAAAAGTTACCTGATTCGCTAATTAACGTCGGCGCGGGAACACCGTTGCACTGGAGGAACCGCGGACGAACACCGGTGGACAACAGCGGTAGGAAAAATCGGATAGCCTGCGATCAACTGAAACGGATACAAAGCACGTGGCGAAAGAAGAAAGCTCGGTGTAGAGAAATCTGATACTTGGTTTTGTTCAGACGGATCCTCTCAATGACATAGTACACTAGCAATAGTCGCAAGGCCGAGGCCGTCTTTCGCGGTTGAACACATTGGTTGCTTGATTCTCTATAAACACAGTTGCAACAATACTCATAGGGGGGCGAGAGAGAGAGAGAGAAAGAGAGAAAGAGCGAGAGAAGAAACGAAAAAGAAAAAGGAAAAAGGAGAAGCGATGGAAGAACAATTACGCGCGGTGACGAACAGACCGGACCGAATAGGAAAGGAGAGAACGATTTGTTTCACCTGCGAGAGTAACCCGAGGTGCGTGATACTGTTGGAACTTACAAAGAGAAGCGCGAAGTGTGCCGCGCATTCACTACCACCACCTCCACCACTACTAATGAAAACCACTTCCTTCGTCGCTAGCATCTGACGTTCTAGAACGGCTACCACTACAACTTCGTCGTTTAGTAAATACGCAGTTAACACCATTGCGCCCTACCACTACCACTTTCGGCAAAACAATGAGTAACACACGAACGGTGTCATTCTGGCCCCTTCTCTTCTACTCTTTCTCTCCTCTCTCGACTCACACCTCGCACCAGCTCCTCATCTACACCTCCGGGAGCTGATTACCGGATATCTCCCCGAAAAATTTTCTTTCGCTTCGTTGTTTCTGTAGGCGTGAGTACCGTTCGGGGCGTGTAAAAATTTTTCATTGAAAAGCTGTCCGAGGAAGTACACTACTCGATACACTCTCAGTCACCTACATTCCCAACACTGTGCGTTTGCACGCGCTTTCTTCCTCTTCCTAGATCGTACCGGGAAGTGCACGTGCACTTGTTATGTTTGATAATAAGTTTAAGTATCGTGGAACGTTTTCAGCGTTAAATTAGTCGGTTGGGAATTTGATCGTTCGAGTGGACGATATAGTGGCGAATGGGAAAAATGGTTTTGTGAAAATTCGAGGAAATACTCTTGCGACGACGTAATGATTTTGCTAAAAAAAAAATTGATCAATTAGAACATTTTGTGATAATTGCATCGTTGAAAATGCTTGTGAGAATATGCATGAGATTCGATGTCGCGTTGGTAGCTGAAAATATTTTAATGAAAATTCGGGGAAATACTCTAGCGACGACATATTGGTTTCACCGTCCCAAGAAAAAGAAAAATTGTATAATTAGAATATTTTGTAACAGAGACTTAGCTTGCATGTGATCATTGAAAAAAGTGACTGAAAATATTTGAATGAAAATCTAGGGAAATACTTTGAAAAATGGATAAAAGTTGTGAAGTGAAAAAGCGCTTAAGTTTTTGATGTCGAATTTAAAGGTGTTCGTTGGAAATATCGATTGAAATTTGTAAAATTCGACATGAACTTATGGGACGACCTAATACAACACCTCGTCTCTACTCGAATAGTACAAGTGGTTGTCTTTTGTACTTTTGTTACCTCTTTCTCTCTCTCTCTCTCGCTTTTTCTTTTTCGGTGTATAGGTGGTCCTCGGGACGTGAAAAAAAGTAGTACCGTTCGGTACTCTTTTTTTCTGGTAGGCGCAATTTTGCTGAAGGACCATTATTTCATTTCTGTAAATAGAAGCACTTGTGCTCCGTCAAAAATCCGGTCTCGCGTCTTAAAATCGTGAATTTAGAATTTTCTTTTTTTTTCCGTTCCTGTTTTTTCTTTCTTCCGCGTGCATGTGACCGCATGTGCAAGAGGAACTCTGGCGTAAAATGAGAAACCTACTTTAAAAAATATGAAAACGGAACGCGACGTGCAAGAAATTCTTGTACAAATTTGCCTTAAATAATGGTGCCGTACGAATGCGAGAGAGAAAGTAAGTGGAACGAGAATAATCGATATTCCGTTTAAAATTTTCGATTCGGCGAAAGCATTTGGCAGTTGTTACGTTGGAAAAATGCGAAATTTTAGCAATTACGTAAAATTATACGAAGATACAAGAACAACTGAACGGTTTTGGTAATTCTCGTTACTTCACTTTTTCTTTATCACGATTATGTTCGACGAATACATCAGTTAGGTTTACAATTTTCTGTTGTAAAAATTACACTTTTTTCGAAATAATCCTTTTTTTGCCAATTATTTTATAATTGCTTCGAAATATAGAACTTCTTGTGTTAATAATGTTGCTTTCCAAAGATGGAGGCACAAAGATGGATGTACAAGACTCACTTAACTAATAGTATATTCTGTTACTTTTCATTGGAAAATACTCCTCTAGTGCACAACTGTTAAAAATAATTCCATTCGTGAAATATATTTCGTGCAATTTTCTGTATTTAGGTCGAACGAATTGAATAAAAACTTTTCAATGAAATTAATATTTAAATTTTTCACGATTTTGGTTTATTATTATATTTTCTAAATATTCCAAAAATTGTCACGCAATTCACACAACATTCCGTTCTACAATTTAGTTCACATTCCACTTGAATAGTTCAATATTAAAAATTGAATTAAAAAATTCAATAATTCCAAGCTTTTTCTGATG